CCAGAAAAACGCGGGTCTGTATTTTTTAAAGACATGGAGGATTGCCGAATCTGGAACTGATACCTTCCTCCTGCAAAATATTTCTTAGCCTGGCTTGCAGATAGTGGAATGTGATTCCTGTGGTTTGCTTTCTAAATAACCCCAGTAAACCTATATTAGTTCGAATAAACGCCGCCTCACCAAATTCTGCTGCTTCATTGGTTAATTTTGGAATATAATATTTGTTTTTAGAGAGTTCTGCATCTCATACGTGTGCATCTTTCATTCCCTGTTTAAGTTTAAGGATTAGAAAGGGCGTTTATTCTTCTGTCTGCAAGTCAGGTAAGAAATATTCTAGCATAAAACAAGTTTCAAGAACTAAAACACGCAAACGGTAGCAGTCCATCTTGAAAATATGCTTCTTTAATCACAACAAAATAATATATGTTTTGAAGAAATTTCCACAGACGAAGGATCAAAACTTCCTGCAGGTTTCTAATAAAAAGAATCAAGTCTTGCGTTTATTCGAACAAATATGGTGAGTGAATTTTCTTATGGCATTGTGAGTCCTTGCATGCATTTAATATTTCCATTAATGATTCATTCAAGTCCTTTTTTCAGTTTTTACCCCTGGAAGCTGTGTTGGTCTGACAGTTGTCCATTTCTGTTTGCAGAACTGTTCTGTCCTCAAAGAAAAGAAGAAACTGTGCATTGCAGCACAGAACTCACTGCCACTTGGCAGCTTAGAGGAGCCTTCTCCGACACTGAGGATTTCATAGATCATGGCCTGGTGTCAGCCAATCGTTGCTCCAGCAGGACTTCATCCATCAGCTCATGGACAGAAAACATGAAACCATCTTTCACAAAGAAACTTAAGTTTCAGTCCGTCTTAGAAGGGGAGGCAGCAGAGTTCAAATGTAAACTGATTGCCTGCCCTCCTCCTACTATCCTCTGGTTTCATAATAACAGATCTATACCTAAAGAGCATAGACGCAGGATCTACACTGACAGCAAAATGCATGTTCACACTACCAGTCTAGTTATTCATGGTGTCAAAGAAAAGGACTCGGGCAGTTATAAGGTAATGGCAATAAACATAGAGGGTTCTGCAGAATCCACAGCATCACTTCTGGTGTCACTGAGGGAAGAGCAGTCTGCTAACTATCTTGGCTTTATTAGACGCACTGCTAAAGCCCACGAGAGCATCGATACCATGGCAGAGCAGAGGAAAGAGAGGAAGTTTAGGGTTGACCTCAGATATGTCGGGTCTCCTTTTGACAAAATGTCCAAGGTCCATCAGGGTAGATCTCGATCTAAGAGTGCTCTTGTGCGTACTGTGTACTTCATGCCTGGTTCCCATTCAGAAGACAAGGAACCAGAAAAGGAGTCTAAGCGGTTAGAAACTGCCTCTGAGCGTGCCCTGTCTCCTACCCCGATGTTTGACAGATCTGAGCGCTTCAACGACAGATTCAGTGACATCTACTGTGACCGACGCACTGGCACCAGGTTCAGTGATAAGTTCAGTGACAGGTGCAGTGACAGATACAGTGAGAGGTTCAGTGACACTGAGAGTCTCCACAATGAGGTAAGAACAAAACTTACTACACTCCAAAAAGCTGTCAAACAGAAAAAGAGGCTTTCTATTTCCACCATGTCTTCCTCTGAGTTTGAGTTAGAATCTGTCGCCAGCGAGTCAAGCTATGCAGATTATGTCGAGAGACTTAGGGTCAAGCCTGCTTCTCTGCCTGATGTTCAGCATTTCAATCGACCCTTTGATTTGGGTGAGACGTACAGGGAGTTTCAAGGTAAAACCTCTAGCAGGGATCCCGCTGAGCCTTGTGTTAGACATTCATTCGAGCCTCAGTCGAGAACCAGGGCCATCCAATTAATGAGAGGTGAGCTGGTCAGTACAAGTGTGTCAGAAACAGAAAAGACATCAGACGACAAACATTCAGAGAAACTAGAGGATAAAAAAGTCAAGGGTTTTGTTGAAATACAAGCCGATGTGGTTGATGACCATAAGGTGCAGGTTACAAATGTTGGGATGACAGCATGCAACCTTGAAGGACCGCTCGGTGAGAAAGCGGTTTACCCAGAAACTACAATGTACACTGAAAGTGGGGAACGTGTTAAAAGTCTGCCTTCTCAAGAAGCAACATTACTCATACAGTCAACCATGCCAAAGTCAGTCACATCTACCAGAGAGAGGTTTCTTAGAGAAGACACAGCAGCAACAGAAACAGCTGATCTGTGTAAAGAAGCATTTGCTGGGGAGGATTTGAGGGCTCGTTACGAGAAGAGCCTGGAAGCTGAACGAATAGCTTGTGAGGAGAAACTCCTTGCCCTGAGGATCAGGAAATGGCAGCAAGGGAGTAGGATGTCAGGAGAGGAGACATATGATCCTGAAACTGATCTGCCCATTGTCCCTGAGGCAAAGTCCACAGAGCCCACAGGGCACATTTACAACCAGCAGGAGAAAAGAGCAACTGTGGAAACTGAGGCCATGCACTCCTCTTTTCATGAATCACTCAAAAAAGAGGCATGGGAAGATAATCCTGAAGGAATGGCTCAATCAACACCCACATCTACAATAAAGATGAGAAGCAGAGAGGTGGAAAGGTCTGCCTCTGTGGGTACAAAAGCTTCCACAGTGACAATTGGGCTAGAAGAAGACACAGCACCACAGACGCTGATGCAAAAGTCCCAAAAGTCACCAAGAACAAGACCAAGGCCAGAGGACAGATTCAGAATTTCAGAGAGATTTATTAGTGAAAAACAAACACCAGACAGCAAAGGGGAAAAACAGGTTGAGCCATGTGATCAGTTTGCAGGCAAGTTTTTTAGAGCTCCGTATGAGAAGAAGCTAGAAACTGGAGGAACTGAATGCGAAGAGAAACGCCTTCCCTTAGGGATCAGGCAGGAAGGCATGAGAATATCAGAAGAGGAGACATTTAACTCAGAAACCGATCTGCCTATTCCAGCAGGCACACAGTACAAAGAGAGTGAGAAGCACATTCACACCCCACAAGAAGTAATGGAGAAAAAGATAGCTCCTGTGCCAATGCCTATGGCACCTAAAGTCAAAGGTGTAGCAGAGCAGCTTGAAACATCTGCCCAGTTGGTCAAAGGACAAATGAAAACAAAAGTAGAAGAACTGGAACATGAGAAACAAAAATTGCAGAGATTTAAAGCTAAAGCAGCAGAAGCTGAATATGAGTCTAGATCTGAAAGAAAAGCTAGAGCAGAGAAGATGCTGTTTGAGAAGACGAGAGCAGAAAAGGAGCTCCAGCTGTCGAGGGAAAACATCTCAGACCTGAAGAGTGAGAGTGAGAAGTTTATTAGTGAAGAGGAGGCTTTGACTCAGCGAATAAGAAAGTGGCAACAGGATGTTTTACTGGAACAAGAGCAGACTGCAGAACTTCAAGGTTACTCACCTTTCCAGGCAGGGAAGACCACTGAGGCAGGAACAAATCTCGCAGAGGCCTCTGCTTTAGAATTGGCAAACACAGTCAGAGAGAAATGTGTTTCTAGTGAGTCTGCTCCTGCTGGTTTCCAAGACCAGGAGGGTGAAACTCTGCAGTGGCCTCTGGCTGGTGAACTGCCAACAGAGGGCCGTGTGACAAGGCTGCAGAGGGACAGTGAGTACTTTGTAAGTGAGGAAGAAGCACTGGCTCAGCGCATATTAAAATGGCAACAGGATGCAGTAGAACAAGAGGATACAGCTGAGCTTGAGTCTGAGTGGCCCCAACTGCCCCTGACTTATTGTGAGCCCCATCATAGTGGCATGTCTCATGAAGCCCACCCCACTGAACCCCCGCCTCCACATTTATTTTCAACAGAAAAACCGTCAGTTTTTCAGCCTATTGCAAAGTGTGACCTGTCACCTCCTTTTGAGGCTTCTATGGCCAGGCACCCCGCTGCAGATGCTAGTTTGCTACACCATGTGGGTGCACCTGATGCCCCTGTAAGATATCAAAAGGACTCTCAGGCTTCATCAGTCCAGAAATACTCTCCAACCCAGCTCACTGGGCGTCCTTATGAGGAATATGAACTTACCTCTGCCTCTTATGAAAGCCATCGTGAGCCTTCCCCAGTCAGGAGAAGCTCCCCATCCCTTAGTCGACAGGATGGTTCAGAAAGAGAGGGAGTGGTGAGGTTTAGAAGGGAGAAGCATGCTATGCATGTTGATAAATCCAGCAGACAACACTTCCAGTCAGAAGTAAGAGAAGAGAGAGCTATGGAAAAGGAGATGGGAACTGCAAGAGAAAACACTGAATGGAAACAACAGAGGGATGAAAGAAGTGGAGATTTGAGAAATCTGAGATCTACACAGGGTAAGGAGATGAGTACTGAAATAGGTGCTATAAAGAAGGAAGAGAGAAGAGTTGAAAATGTGGAGTTAAACATAAAAGATCTTGGAAGTCTGGGAGGCTCACATCCAGGATTTGTTAAAGAAATATCTTCACTTAAAGTAAAAGTTGGCGAGA